TTAGTCACTTTATTACTCGACGACCGCGTATACTTGCGTGAGTGTGTTTGGTCGCAACACTAAGATACCATGCCTTTTCTTAGTTCATGCTGTAAAAGCATTTCAACGAGTATAACATGCAGAAAATCCCGCAAGAATCACATGTCCCTCTCTCAACACTGAGATATACATAAGTCATAAGCTTAATTTTTCCCCAGTTGAGAGGGGGAAAGCCAAATCTCATATTTAACGATAAGATAAGAAACATAAGAATCTACTACTATAGCTTCATCCAATTAAGAGACTAAATCGGTCAATCACTCAAAAAAACTTCAAGTAATTATATGATTACCACAAGATGAAGCTTTGTACATAATCATTATACAAGATCATTTACATAAAAAAATTTATTAGCATATAAATTTTGAGTGCAGTTAGATGGACCATTGTCTAGTTGCAATTTCACATCCAATTGACATCCAAAAAAAGAACGGTACTGTTCAATACAAACAGTAAGCACATGACACGGAGCAAAAGTGTTTACTCATTGTAAGAGATTTCAGCAAGTGATACGCATAACAAAATGCTAACTTGATAAATGCAATACAAAGACAAGGTCAGTATTACAGCACCGGAATGCCCAAGTGTTGAAGCAGGTTCTCTGCTTCTTGAGCTTCCATTTTTGCCACCTCCTCAATAGGGCCTTGTAGTGCCTGGCCATCAATTCCTGCATCATTCGAAGGTAAAATGATAAGGAACTGCCATGTTTAAATCATAATAGTTAACCAACACCCTACTATATACACCAAAAGTTGTATCTTCTTTACTTTTGCTTTTCTATTTAAAGCTCTGTTTAATTTAGATAATCAATTTCATTAATTATAATTAAAACTTCAGTTATCATCACAAAGCCACCTTTTATTATCATTATTGTCAAATGCAAGTGATCAATAAAACTTTTATTTTTCCGATGCAGGCCACTGCAAAATCTTCCATTTTATGATGTTTTTGCCTCGACACAAAGTTTGGACTATTAATTTGGCGTGCGTATTATATAAGTATGTAGTGAAATAGTGGTTAAAACATTAGTTTGATCAAGAAAACCGAAATCAAATTTAGAATTTGAATAGTTAATTGAAGTTAAATTCTTGAAAGTCATCTTTATTATAATTAGAGGAAACCAAAATACCAAGAGTATCATATAAACTGGAACAAAGAGCTAAAGGAGTATTTGAATAACCATAATCAATTTAAAAGCTACGGCATTGTTTTTGTTGTTGTGAATTAAGCGATTAGTAGAAGGGGAACCTTGGCGCAACACTTGTTGTGTGTGTGAACAAAGTCCCACATGGAAAGTAGCAAAGAAAAATGATCTACTTATAAGGAGTTGGATACTCTTAACGGTGTAAGGCCATTTGGGGAAAACCGCATGGACTTAGCCCAAAACGGATTGTATCACACCATGGGCCGTTTAGTTCAACAACTAGTATCAGATTCAGAGCCAACGGTTTGGCGGGACTATGGAGATGGCGTAGTGTTGAATGTGACCCGACTTAGTGCCTTTGCCCGTCTACGAGGTTTACGACTTTGACAATGCATACACAACCTTTGGGCTTCGGTGACCGTAAATACCATGTAGGTGACACACAGTTACTTTCCAAATTAGGCCATGAATGATGATGGGTCATGTGAAACTTACTTCAAGGGGACGATTGTTGGGTGTGTGAACAAAGTCCCAAAGTAGAAAAGAAAAATGATCTCCTTATAAGTAGTTGAATAATCTTAATGGTGTGAGACCTTTAGGGGAAAATCGTGCAGGTTTGGCCCAAAACGGACAATATTAACACCATGTTAAGAGTATCTTTGGACCGTTTTAGTCCAAGACTAACGGTAATACTAACAGTTGCTGCCGTGTTACTTTTCAAGCCGTGGAAACAGTCATTTTGCAAGGTAAGGTTGCATACATGACCCAATGTATGGTCCAATCCCCCAAATGGGGAATGGACCATACTGGCTTCTTTAAGCAATTAGCAACACATAATATCAGAATCAATTCAAAAGCTCAACCAAAGAGGCCAAAATCCTCTTCTTTTTTTGAGCTTACTTGGAGAGATGTATGGAGTAGTACCAAAATTGAGGTTCAAATCGCCTTTGGTGCTTTGACCAAGGTAATCCACTTCAGACTTTGTTTTAGAAGTAACAACTGAGAACACATCTTCGCCAGGTGGCACCGACGTAGTGGCGCAGCGGCAAGAGAACCCATTTACATGAACATACGAACTAGGCGAGCGTAACACCAATCCACCGTTAGAGAATTTAACAGGTTTTGGCAGAAGATAAGGACTTCCAGTAGTACTATTTGGTATATTCATGCAGCTTGCTACAGATTGGCAAACTGTCGAACACCTCATGTGCATAAATTTGAGGCTGAATTCTAACACACAGAACCGAAAAAAGAGGTGTTCGATTGGGTGCAGTTAGGATTTGGAAGTCGCGGCAACTTCAACAATGGAGAGTGACGTTTATACTTTACTAATTTCGTAGTGCCAACGCTACGACCAATGATCGTGAAAGTTGGGACCTTTTCCCCCTTTCTCTAACTTTTTTAAGGAAGTTGAATCTATTTTTAAATATATTTAAAGAAAAAAAGGTAAACCAAAGCCAAATATCACTTAGGGTTTGATTTTGATTTTATATTATTTCATGGGATAATAGCATTTTGGGTCCCTGGATTATTGGTAAATTATAATTGAGGTCCTTATGACATATGACTCAACAAATTTAACCTTCAATTAATTGAAAAGTGTGGTTCTGCTCTCTTTATACAGGAAATATGTATTTGAACTATTTTTATAAGTATAATAATATCCTCAAATGGAAAATAACAGTATAAGCTTAACGTAACACATAGATAATTAAATGGTTACGGACTTACGGTTAATAATTCTGGACAAGAAATCAAAAGTGCACAAGACAAGTAATTAAGGGTTATATATGCTTAGTCAGATATCAGAAGCACTAAACTCAAAATATACTAATAATTGAAGGACAAAAGCTGCTATTAGCTTTTACTTGATTAAATGGGTTGTTTCGTTTATGGAATAAGTATAATAACATCGGGATAAACTATAAAATCATTTAATCTTGTGTTTTGTTGGATTTTATTTTCAATATAAAATCTCATGAGTCATGATTAGTTATAACATAAATTTGATATTATTTTATATACGGTCAATGTAGGGATAATAATTCATGAGATAAAATAACCAAATGACTAAAGTGCTATTCTCTAAAACACTTCTTCTGAAGTCCTTTAATAAGACTGCGGTTAAAATTAAAAATAAAATTTATCCAAGTTTATTTTTTATAAAATCAAACGCATTTTTTAAATTATACTGCATATATCTCATTTTTAATCTAATGAATCAAACATTTATCAAAACATATATCCACTAAATAATCTCGTTTTCATTAATCTCCATATTATATTCCCGATTTAATTTAATTTGTTTGTGGAACAAACAACCCCTAGAGTTTATAGTAGTACCTTTACTTGCAAATAACAACTAGGCAGCAATCCAGTTAAACGGGTTGATACAGCTAAACGGGGAATGTAGAATTCTCCTTTCACTAAGGTTTATATAATAGAACAAGTACTTACTGAAATGAAGCTGTAATTAGTCTAGTTCAACAAAAATAACTTATGTCCTTGAAACGAAATATATAGATTTGATGGAAATCATGTATTATGTCTAACTATTATTCTTCTCTATTCTCGCTTCAACTTTTGTAATCTTTTTCTTTCGTGTTCTTTCTTTTTTAAGTACTAAGAAACATAAATTAACGACGGACAAATTATGTAATTAAACAATAAAATTTGTGCTAATCCTACTTAACAATAAATTAGCAAACTATTATCAAAAATTCTTTTAGCTACGAGCGTTTTTGCATCAAATTAGTGACGAAGTTTGTAGCTAATCATTTTTTTTAATTAGTGTTTGCATGAGATTGAAGGGGAGTATTGGCGTAACTGGTTAAGTTGTTGTCATGTAACCGGGAGGTCACGGGTTCGAGCTATGGAAATAGCTTCTTGTAAAAATGTAGGGTAAGATTGCGTACAATAAACATTTGTGGCCCGGTTATTCCCCGGATCCCGCGTATAGCGGAAGCTAAGTGCATCGTGCGGCTTGTTTGCATGAGATTCCATGATAAACTTACTTTAATTGATTGCAATTTTGTCCGGGGCCATTCTTTGGTACTTATAGCTTGTTTGCCCAAACTTCTAAAATCAGCTTATTTTGAGAAGTGATTTTGGAGAGAAACTATTTTTTTCTACTTTTCCAAAACTGTTTATGCTTCTTCTCAAAAGTATTTTTTTTTTCCTTCTAAAAGCTTGGCCAAACACTTTAATTTTTTAAAAAAACACTTTCGATCCCCAAAAAAACTTGGCCAAAGAGGCTATGAGACTATGTAATTAGCCTACTTGCATATGTGAAAGTAAATCATGCATAGCTTGTTCACAGCGAATATAAAGTAGAAAAGTACCTTTAGCCATTGTTTTTCAAGTCAGAGTTGAAAATCACCAGAAAAATTAAGAGCCTTCTAATCTATGCTTATTGTTAAAGGAAAGAGATTGTGGGCATTTATATATGTGAGTTAGTGACTTTTAGCAAAAACTTTAACTTTAGGGACTTGCTACTAAAAAACGTCTGGACTCCTATTAAATATGTTTCCATCCATCAAAGGAAATTACTAAATATTTTGCATAACTACAAAATATTATTTGATTCATTACTTAATTGAGAGACAAAATAATTATTTAATTACCAATTATGCAAACCAAATTAGAAGTTCCCAAAATGTTCATTTCCAAAATGCTGTGATTAGAAGGAATCTATCTTGCGTAGCTTTATTTAGAAGATAAAGTGGCTGTATCTAATTACAAAAAGATGATAAAGAACAGAGTTTTAAGATTCTTGAAATCCTTATAAAGATCAAATCATACCAATATATGTTATGATGAGTAGGGAAATTCGAATTCCCTCGCCGAGAATGCACAATGTATACAAGGCCAACTTTTCTTGAAGGCCCGTTCAACTTGATTTCATTTTTTATTTTGACATTTTATCTCAACCTTGTTCCATTTTGGCTCTTCAACTCTATTTTTTATGTTTCATTTTAACACAAAAGCTGAAACCAGTGTAAAAAAATATAGCGCGTGTGTATATACAAATCTGAGGTGTAATAAATATCCAATTAAATGTTGTCACCTGATTTTTTCATCCTTTATTTCATATAAGCTTGAAGTTTGAAGTGAATCCATGTCTGAAAGAAAATTATTTTTTCATAATGGAATGGATATTTGTTCTTGTGGATTTCAAGTTGAACTGAAAGAATCATAGACACCAAGAAATCTGGGTCGGGTATTTTAGTATTGATCTGTTTGACAAGGATGAGCAACATTTAATTGGATATTTATTACACCTCAGATTTGTGTATACACACGCGCTATATTTTTTGCACTGGTTTCAGCTTTTGTGTTAAAATGAAACTTAAGAAATAGAGTTGGAGGGCCAAAATGGAACAAGGTTGAGATAGAGTGCCAAAATAAAAAATGGAGTCAAGTTGAATGGGTTATATATGGGTTTGGCCTTTCTTAAATGTATATATAGTAAACGATGAATCCCCTTCTTCGTCATTATATGTTATGAATTTAGTGATTCTATGGTATAATCACCTCCAAAATAGAATTATATAAATTTAAATTAGTTTTTAAGAATAAAGGGCAGAAAATAACAGTCCGGTGCACAAAGCATCTCGCGTTCACGCAGAATTCGAAGAAGGGTTGCACCTCAATGGGTGTAATGTAGACAACCTACAATGATGCAAGTATCAATGGTTGATTACACAGCTCGAATCCGTAACCTATTGGTTATACGGAAATAACTTAACCGTTGCTCCAATGCTTCCCTAATTTAAGAATCAAATTAATATTTGAAATAATGGAGCTCAATTTCTTGTTGTTGCTAGAGAGGGAATGATGGTTTTTGTAAATTCTGAAATGTGACGTTATATAAATGTTACGGAGCTGAACAACATGAAGAGATGTTCCGCTAATTTACCCTCAAAGCTTTACTCCAAATTCCATTTCAACAAGTATGTTAATAGCTGTAATAAATATAACAATTTATAATAGTAGAAATAGTTTCAAACATTATGTATTGATTTTTCATTCACTCTCATTGGAGTAACTTATAAAATGTTACTGAACAATTTGGAAATGGAAATATCGCAATTTCATTAAGTATAAAGATTGATGAAAATATACTAGTATTTGCTAATTATAGCTGTTAAAATAAGCCATAGCAAATGGAAAGACCCTTGGCAGGAAACGTTTTCCTTTTTAATAGGTCATATGCGACATAAATTTCGATTAATCGGGGCAGTGGTTAACAAATATGAGATAGCTATACAAGCAAACTTAAGCTCATTAGTGCACATACACCTCCCTTTTTAGACTCTTGATTTAGTAGATAATTATAATATGGAATACTATGTTGGGAGATTATCATTAATAAAATCAGTTATTGGGACATTTTTTTTCTATAGTAAACAATATATCAGAAGTGAAGAGCAAAAGAAGTCAATGATATATATGGCATTTGTATTCACCAAAAAATAAACAAATTTACTTAAAATTTATTACTTATATATAGAATTGTGGATGTTGATGACAATTCTGTTTGACCCAAAATATAGATCTGGGTTCAACCAATTAGATTTAAGAAAAATAGAGTCAATCTTAGCTAATAATAATATCCAAAAGATAAAGTTATCGGTTTTATGACAGGTAAGATGTATGTTTGATCAAATAGTAATGAAGCAATAATAATAGTATTCAATGATCCAAAAATATGAAACATAACATTAAATAATAATAAATAGCAATGAATTACATTTAAGTAAATAAAAATGTTACACCTTGTACGTCCCAAGGTGACGTATAATGAATATGAAATTTGTTAATCATGATTTAAATGAGTTTAAAGTCATAATATGACTATATATGATGTTTGGATAAAACACATAAAGTTTGGGGAAAATCGGATTAAAGTTGCGGAAAAATCAAGTAAGAATTTTTCCTATAACAGAGCTTTTTGAAAAATAAATTTCGTGTGCTATATGAGGTCTTTTTGGGACATATTATATACCAATTAGAAGGTCTTGGAATGTAGTTTCCAACGCTCTTAATCGTTTATTCATACGATATCCGGATAAAAATATATAAGCGTCGGAAAATGAGCGAATCAAAGAGTGCCAAGCTAGCACCTTTTGACTTTTCAAAAGTTGATATATTTTCTTTAACTCGTCTCTCTCTCTCTCTCTCTCTCTCTCTCTCTTTTTCTCTCTCTCTCTTCATTTTTACATAACATATGACCAGAGGACACCATAAACGGTCCTTGAGCTCTCTAATATTGCTTCAAACAATACTATCATCTCGGACACGAAATCAAGAAGCGATAACATTAAAATGATCCCTACAACGTAAGTATCGCTATATCGCCTCTTCTTCTTTTTTTGTACTTTGAGTTTTGGAATGTATTTAATAGTTAATAAAAAATTCTAATTTCTGTATTTAAGCTTTAAAATATCAAGAAAA